TTGAACAATGCGAGTCATAAAGTTGAAATATGAGTATGCTACTCAACATTAAAATGCTTTGTAATGTGCTTGTGAAAAAAAAAGCTAAAGTTGCAGGCTAAAAGGGCAGGTGCTCTTTGTAAATGAAAGACCAGAGATGCACAAGTTTTCATCATATGAAATCTGAGAACCATTTAAAGTGCAGCTTCAATGGGCTTCAAACCTGTACTCCTTAATTCTCAAATCATTGGCACTTTCAGGCAATTGTGAGAAGCAGAGTGGAAGAGCAATCTTCTCTTTTTTTCCATACCATTTCCTCCTCTAGAGAACACATTTAGAGAGGAATGAGGCTGGCCTTTGCCTGCCTCCCACACTTACTCCTTCCTGGACAGCAGAGCCTAGCGGGGGGCTCTAGGCATCTCCCTGACCCCTGTGCTTGGCCTCACCTCCCACCTGTAACCCGGTACTCACCACTGGGATGAGAGTGAGGTGCAGGTGCTGCCAACACATGCAAGAGGGAGCGTAGGAAGTGAGTAGGCTTATAGTGTCACCTGTCTTTTGCTCCTCTCAATACTTTCCCATTTGAAAGTGCCACCAGATACTGTGTGACTTAAGCAAAAACTTTGGCCAGGCTGTTGACTTGTCAGCACCAGCAGGAATCTACATTTTGTGAGATAAATTGATACTTGCTTGGATCATCAGCTATTCATTCAATCATCCATTTATTTACTTTTGCCCAGGGACTCTGAATGACCCTCTTGTCTACGTTGGATGCCCCCATTCAAATAAGTTTTTATCAGAATGAAGCTCTTCCCCACCAACCTCGTGCATAGCACCCCACCTATAACCGTGCTGTGGAAAGGGCCAGAGCATTAGAAGAGACAGACTAGGCTCCTGTCAGATTTCGTCATTTCCCAGTCATATGTGGTCCCAGGCAAGTCTCTCTCCTTCTCTCAGCTTCAGAGTCTTTATTCTATAAAATAGAAACCATCCTTTCTATCTCATCCTGACTATCCCCTGAGCCACAGACCTTATATCATCATACCAATGTAATACTCCACTTGGATACACAGTGAGCATCTGGAATCAAAATATGTAAAACAGAATACTTAATGAATTCTCTCTTGTCTGCACCCCCGACCCAACCTCACTCCTTCATGGTCTTTCCCATTTTGGCCTATAGGGTCAGCATCTTCCCAGTTCCTCAGGTCTACACCTGGGGGCCATCTTTAACGCTTCGTTTCCTCCCACTGCAAATTCATCCAGGTCCCTTCAGCTTTATTATCAGAATATATGCTGGGTCTGTTCTCTTTTCTAGCTCTACGGGCATGACCCTATCCTAGGCCATCACCATTTCCTGCCTGGACAACACGGCACCCTCTTAGTGCCCCCCCCACTTCCTGTCTTGCTTTCCTATGATTCATTCTCCACACTGGAGTCATAGTAGCCTTCAAACATATGAGGAGAATCAATTCCATCTTCCCATCATAGGGCTGCTTGGTCTGATCTCTGCCTACCATTCCATCCTCATACCTTCCCTCATCTTCTTCCTGTTTCCTGCACTCCCAACACTCAGTCTTCCTGTGGGTGTGCCTTCTGGGACACACCTGAAGACTTTGCACTTGTCCCTTGTCTGGAACACTTCTCAGCTTGAAGGCTTGACTCCACTGTCACCTCCTTAGACAGCCTTCTCGACTACCCATCACTTTCCTCCTCATTGTTCATTTGCTTTAAAGCATTTACCCTTACTTAAAATTACCTAGTCTGTTTGCTTCCTCCCTGTCTCATCCGCTAGTAGATGCTCATTCACTGCTGTATCACCAAAGCCCAGGGCCCTCCCTGATGTGTCATAGGTGCCCAATACACTTGCTGAAAATCAAATCAATGAAAATGAATTAACGAATATAAAGTTGTAGCACAATGCTTATTCTCACTTAAAAACAACGGGTGCTGGACTGCAAGCTCCTAAACATTTGGGGGCTGCAGGGGTATACAGCTCAGTGGTAGAGCGCTTGCCTAGCAATTCAATCCCCAGCATCTCAAAAACAAACAAGCAAATAAACTCCAAAACCCAGAACTAATCAGGATGGGGCTTTGCACATTGTAGATGTTCAGGAAATATTTCCTGGTAGAAATCACTCAGGAGAGCGCTGTCTGAACTGTGTCTCTAAGGCCGCCTCTTTCCTAGTGGAGCTTGGAGAGCTCCACCAGAACTGTCTGTAGTAGGTACTATTCTAAATGAGTGTGATGGCCTCTATCTTCTTAGCACATCAGTTCTTCCTTAGAGTCTATCCTTGAGGGCTGAAGTCCACATGTGCTACACTACCTGCCTTTCAGACTCTTCCCTTACACACTCCTTGTACTTCAGCTCTGGCAGTACAAGTCCTTCTGGTCTCCCAGTCGCATGCCTATGGGGCCATGCCTGACTCCATCTCTGCATGGGGCGTTCCTCTCTTTCCTTCAAAACCCCACCCCAAAATACCCAGGCAGCCTTTACTGACACATATACTGCAGCTCCCTCTATCATCCTGCACAAACTTCTTATTACTATTGTTCTATGTTACTCTAGCCCAGTGCTGGTGAACCTATGGCATGCATGCTGCAGTGAGCAGTTTGTGTCATCGAGAACTCTAAAAGGTTGGCCATCAGGTTATCTAGCTCTTTGGGGCTCAAGTTACAGAATCACCCACTGCCTATCTGTGGCAGATCATATTTTCTTAAATGGCTATCTCATTCTCCACACTGTTTTTCCAAAGTGACTTTGATGTTCTTTCCACTGAGGAAGAGGGGTCTCTGTTGCTGCAGGAGGGGCTTGCACCCCTTGAATCAGTACAATGCGGTGGAAATGATTCCTGGCAATTGCTGAGGCTGGGTCACAAAAGGCTGTGCAGCTTCTGCCTCCCCTCTCTGACATAGGCAGCATGCTGTGAGGGCTGCCACATGGAGAGACCACATGTAGATATTGACAGGCCCAGCTGAGGTCTCAGCTATGAGCCACACATACATCTGGGTGAGGAGGTCTAGTTGCACTGAACAAGAGCCCTTCACTGGGAACCACCAGGGTGAACTTGCCCAAACTCAGAGCTGTGAGAGATAATAAAAGATGGCACTACATTTTGTGAAAGCTTTGCATACACTAATAGGAACACCATATGTGCACAACTATAATGATCAGTTTGATCTCCTATATATCCTATGCCAATTTGATCTTGTGAACAGAAAGCAGCTCTGGTTCTGTTTCAGATGGCACAGTCCATGTTTTACAAGCAGCTGCTGGTCCTCTGGCCCAGGAGCCAACTGAGTCTCCACACTAGGTAGAGTTAGTTATTGGGCTTCCTCCCCACCCTCCAACACATATTCTGTTCCTTCATATTACTGGGACCTTCTCCTTAGAACTGCCCTACCTGGCCTCTCTTTCAAAATGAACACCACCCTCCCCATCCCTCTCTGACCCAACAGGAGGACCTCAGGACAGGACAAACTGTTCAGGGTGCATGAGTTTACCAGCTACTTTCCTCTGTGTCAGAGAAGAGTCTTGAGCAGTGGTAGTAAACTTATGGTACGTATGAGGCATGCAGAGCCTTGGTGTTGGAGCCAAGTCTAAGTGTATGCATTTTTTTTTCTAAGCTAAAACCTCAGTATTCAGATTTAATAGCAGTGTTAGCACCTTATAATACATAAGTGGGTTTTAAGTTGCAGTTTGGGCACTTGGTCTCTACGGTATTTGCCGTCACTGGTCAAGAGCATTGAGAAACACTAGGGTCCCAAGAAGACAAGAGAGGAATCGTCACTGACCAACCTTTGGCACTCATTCTTTGAACTCTTAATGTAGTGACTTCGGTAATCTGAGGCAAGCCCAAAGGTTGCTGCTATGTGTCACTCTGCTGAGACTGGCAGCTGAGTCAGATTGAAAGGCCAATATATGGAGTAAGTCACTGGACTAGTGACAAAACTGCTGTGCCACCCAGACCTGCATCTCAACGCAGCTTCTTCTGTCCTAGTGAACCTAAAACTAGGTCCTCATAGAAAGTCAGTTCCCTGGTATGTAGGGTTAAAGTCTAAGAAAGTGACAGCTCTTGGGGAACAGTGCTAAACTTGTTGATATTTATACATCTGGGGATTTGTAGATCTCCACACAGACTCTTCCTAAATGCCAAGGGTCTCAGTGTTCAAAAGAGCAAGAAAGGCAAGCATCATTGCAGTTTCAGTGTTTAGAAAGCAAACTGCCTTGTAGCCTAGGTGTGGAGGAAACTGTACCACTCTGCTGGACTGCTTCAGCAGATTAGATTGAGGAGAAGCCACACTTTAGATGATCAGATTCACCTCCTTGAAACCTGTCTTCAACCACTGCCATTCCCGGCCTGGCCTATGTCCCCATGGTCAGGTGGGAGAAATCAGGTGCCCTATCTTAAGTGTGGGAAGGTATCTATGGATTTCTGTATAGGGCTCTGTGGACTAAAGATGGGACACACTCCTGAGGCCCTGACACCACTGTGGGCCATCAGTAGCTGGCTATCAGGCACCAAGCACAACCACATCGATAACCAGTAGTGTCACCTATGGCATTCATCTCAGCCAGGAAAGTGTCAGCTACCCCTCTGCAGAGACCCTGATACAAAGAGGTCAAACAGTTGGCTCATTAGAGTGAGGTCAGTGTGATATGTTAAATTGAAGTTTTGATCTATGCTATGAGACAAGGTAAATTTTATCCTGTGTGTTTGTGTGTGTGTGTGTGTTTGTGTGTGTTGTGCATGTTATATTTGTCCATTCAACCTATTTTTTTTTTTTCTGAGCCGGGCACTGTGTTGAAGACACTCTAAACATAATGTCTTATTATTATTATTCCCAGTTTGCAGATAAGGAAACCAAGCCTCAGAAATTTGTGCACTGCTGTACACAAAGATTAAGGATTTGCATACATGTCTGTTGAACTCCACAATGGCACCGTCTAGAGGACCATAGAACATCTTCCCACCAACCCCTTCCCTCCGCATCCTCTATCTCCATCCCCACCCCCTTACCCAGGGCTTTCATGTAGCCTTCAAAGTTGTCATTACTCTCCATCTCCCAGGTCCCATTCTGGTCTCTTGTCATGGTGACAGCCTCCGGTTTGGCGTGGGTGTGTGGTAAATGTTGAGGACCAAGCTGAAGGGTGGAAATGGACAACTTTTATAGCTTCGTGACCAGGTTTATGTATCTTATGATAAGATAAGGTAGGATATGACAAAGGTCATAAGCACAATCCAAAGGAATTTTGCTTTACAAAGTTCAGCAGTTAAATGGGCCACACAAAGTCCTGGCGTGGCCGGGCATGTGTATCCCAGTAATCTTGGCCAACACAAAGCCCTGAAGCAACTCACTGTTGGCTGTCTGGGCTCCCATTCAGAACCCTCCATCCTGTTCCTTAAGAAAACAAAACATCCAGTGTCCACCCAAACGCACTGTAAGTAGGCAACCCTCGGACCACAAACCTGGAATCTGTGAGACATGTAGCCAGTGCTTCCCACCAGGCTGGGGAATCTAAGAAGATGTAAGCTTATACCTGTGGAACACTACTTGTCATTTCCTCATCATTTCACAAAGAAGACTCAAAGATGTTAAATCCCATGTCCAGTAATGACTTGAGAGTGACTGAGTCCAGGATACAGACCCAAGTCTGTTTGGCTGTGGAGACTTTTTCTCCAGAATGTGATGGATCAGCTTGGAAAGAGGACTGCAGCCAGACTTGGGAGCCTGACCTTCCCTTGCTTCTCCAAAAGGTGTAAATGGGCTTCCAAGCAATAGCGTTCCATGAGAAGAGCGTGCTCTGGGAACATGAGTCTGCTGAAAGCAACCTGGGCCCAGGAGGAGGCCAGAGGGAGACAGAAGGGCAGTTAAACTCTTCTTTGATATCCCAGACGCAATCTAAGGATTGCCTGGACCCAGGTGGGGGCATTACTTGGCATTTGGACAAGTAAAAATTACAGAGTTGTCTCCAAATTGACCATCCCAGGGGTGAGAAGATGGGCTGATATCTCTGACATCCTTCTCTGAGATGTGCAGTCTCACAAAGGGGCCTTTTACTCTGAAGAACGGAATGGGAGTAGGGTCTGTGCTGGATGTATCACGAATCCCTTAAGTGAGGCCAATTTTGATGAGGACTGTGTTAGTGACTTCCTCATTGCTGATACACCCACAAGTTAGGGGAGGAAAGGTTTATTTAGCTCACAGTTTGTAGAAGTTTCAGCCCAGAATTCTGCCTGGAATTCTCGGTGGCATCACAGAGAAGAAACAGTTCATGGTAAGCAGGACAGCAAAACTCAGCAAGCAAGGGAGAAGACAAGTCTCTTTCTGTCCCTCATATTGTATCCAGGCTATGGGGATTAGGGTAGTGTCAACCAATCAGTGGAGTGATTTAGTAATCGACAAGCCTTAATCCAGGCATCATACACTCTAGATTCAGCCGTCTCTGAAAAAGCCTCACCTATGACTGTATAAGGATTTGGGGGCACATCTAGACCCAAAACATAAAAAAGACCCTATTTTTTTATATTGTGAAATCTAATTAACTGGCTCTGACTGTGTGGTTGGAGGAGAGTAAAATAGCACATTTATCTTTCAGCAAGTACACTAGAGTCACCGAGTGAGAAATGGTCCAGCTATAATGGACCTTTGACTTTCGAACTTAGTTCATTCATGAAGGCTGGTTGTAACTCAGTTTGGTCAACTGAAAGCTCAGGCTCCTCTACACAGCCCTCAAAATTTTTCTCCTGAATACAGGCAGAATTCAGTGTCTTTAGCGACACTGGCCAAGGATTTCTTAATTAACCCCACACAGGAAAGGATGGCATAATGTTCCTTCCAGAACTCTTTAAGGATTAAATCTGTATCTGAAACCATCTGGAACACAAGTGGCTAGCACTGAGGTCATAACTCAAGACTTTGGTCATAAATTAAAAACTAAAATTCTGGTAGTAACCCAAGTTGTCTGTATGTCAGAATGTTCATAACTCGAGGGTCCATGGTTTCATGAAAAGGTCAATATGGGACAAAGCAAAGAAGGAGTAAGGGATAAATACCAGAATGGAAAATAAAGGAAGGCAGCAGAAATGGACAGTAAGATAACAGGGGAATCATCCTTGTGGTCCAGCCAGAAGCTGCTAAAGGATGAGTGCTTGGCCTTCAGGATTGGATAAATAGATCTTTCCCTTCAGACTCAGATGTAAGGTCTTTCACATAGCCCTTCCTACCCCCAGTTGAGTGCCTCATCAGCTTCTCCTGTAAAAATATAAAGAAAAAAACTGGCCTGGTAGAGGAAGAGGCCTAGGGACAAGAATGGGGTTACTAATTGAAACAAGCCAAGGGCTTGAGTTTTAATGGGCATGGAGAAGGAGGCATTGGTCCCTGTTTAAGACAGGAAGTTAAAATATATATATGAGCCTTCATAAAACAAAACTCTTGAAGAGCTACTCTTTTGTGAGAATGTAAACTAGTCAAAATATGTTCAGAGACAACAACAAAAACAGCTTATATACTTAACTTGGAGTCTTCATGGGTTAAAAATAAATATTCGATCCTGCTTTGACCCTGGCTTGAGGTTTGAATATATATATTTCTGGGCTAATCAAAGACTCCTTTTAAAATAAAGAGTGATGAGCTTTTAATATCTTTAGCCAGGCAAGAAAAAGTAAGTATAAAAATTGGTCTGGAAGAATATACCTTCAAACTAGGCCAACCCTTATTTTCTGTTATAAATTTTCTGTTATAAAGCCATGGGAAATATAGATTATAACCCCAAATTATAAAACATGGCTGAAACTAATCTAACACAGCAACCATCAGCAGACACATACAGTTAAATTAGATTTTTCAAGTGTCTTAGTTAATAAAATGATCAAAAGCAGACTGCAAATTAGGTATTCTAAAAATGACTAAAATAAATAAAAAATATTTAAAATTAACCAAAGGAGTAAAATAATGTCTTAAAAACAGATTTAAGTAATAACCCAGAAATTAAACCAAGGACAACCCAACAACAAAAATAAAAATGAGAAAACACTTAAGCAAGATACAAAGACAGACTTCCAGTTCACCAATGGCAAACAGTAGGGCAAATGAGGATGAAAAGTCTGACAGTGAACCAGCAGGACACCCTGAACTCAAAGCACAGGAAGCAACAAAACAGATCAATCAGGCTCTAGAGGGTGTTGCCAGGAGGAAAGGGGAAAGTGGGGGAGAGCAGATGAGGAAAAGCAATAGCCAATCAACGACTCAGCCAGTAATGCTCACCAGCCTGCCATTCAAGGAAGATTTCCATCTTACAATCAGCAGCAGAGCCCCCAATTTCAAAAGTTCTGTCCCAGGACATCCAACTTTTCCCACTCATATTAACAAATCACATACCTGAGTGACTGTATTTCTGATTTACTTACCCAAGTCTGTGCAGTATACCTCAGGTGACTCTGAAGCCTGCGGAAAAAATGATCAGCCACAACAAACCAATCCAAGTTGCAAGGACTTTTCTGGAGACCACAAGAAAAAGGGTAGATGTGGATTTCACAGAAGCTTGGGTCTGAGCTCAGTCAGCTAGGAGTGAGGTCAGCAAAGGTCCCCAGGCCTGCCTTCAACCTTAGAACTAACTGCCAGCAGCTGGGCTCCTGGGCTGACTCCCTACAGCCAGCTAGCCTCTCCCAGAGGCCTGCCCAGGCCTGCCCAGCTCCATCCTGCTGTCTCCTTCCTCTGAAAGTTAGGAGTTCCCTTGCTAAGCAAGGGCCCTCTGCTGGATGATGATGTTTCTCAGCAGAGTGTCATCCCTTGCTCTTCCCTTAGGCAATGCCTCAAATCAAGCTCAGGAGGATGTGTTCACTATGGACACTAGAAACTTCATCAATTTTTCTTTCCCTTGAAGGCCCAGAGAAAGAGAACCCAAGAATTCCTTCAGGCACCAAGCAGCGCTGGACTTAGTTTTTCATTTTCATGTATGAGTCGTTCATTTGTACATTGTGCTTCTTCTCTACTTTCACTCCCAGAAGGCATAGTATGAGAGTAGGGAAGCCATACACTATCATTGCTCTCAGAGTGCCAAGGATCAAATTGCTCTGGACCAGGCAGGTGCCACTGGTAATCCCCTTCCTTCCTCACAGTCAGTCAGGAGTAGGTGGTGAGGCACAGGAGTCAGTCCAAACCACTGCTTCCCAAGGGGTACTTGGAATGAACTTGGCAATCAATCCCACCTAGTAGAAACAGCTACCCTGGACTCTTCCTTCCATCAGACCCAAGGAATGTCTGACATTTCTCAGATTAGACAAAATCTTACTTTCTCTCTCCTTGAGATTAAAGACCACTTTCTGTTTTGTTTACAACCTTCTCTCAGGGGCTGGCAGCTGAGGGATGGATTCATGGCAGCTGAGGAAATTTCATATACTCATGGGATGAAGACTACTTGGGTGCAAGCAAGGGGGATCTTTCTGCAGTAGAAAACCCCAAATGTCTCCACATTCTGGGGATTGAAGGGCACCAGGACTTTGATTGCCAGTGATGCTATGAGTTACCAGCAATTCTTCTTTTGAAGACATCAAATTAAATAAAACCATTGGCGAGTTGATCAATAAGATATTGGTCTATGTAGCCTCCCACCATTTATCAAATGCCACCTGATGTGCTAAAATCAATGAAGATATGTCCTTTCAAAAACGTTTATTACATAGTGTTTTGTTTCCAATACCTGGTTTGACCCTTGATTAGAATGACAATTGTGACCCTCTGCTATGTCTGCTGAACACTTGTCCTGGCCCTTCTAGGGAGGGAATATCTTTGAATTCTCACTTTAAAGATGGAAAAATGAGGTTCAGAGAGGGTAGCACTCCCACAAATGGCATAGTTAGTAAAAAGATGGTGAATTTGAATCCAGAAACTCTTCTCTCTGGCCTTATTGAGCTTTTTTTTTTTTAAATGAAGAATAATATTTTTCTTTCCAGACAGTAATGAGGATTTATTTGGATAATCTTTGAAACCAGTCTATTAAAATAGTTCTCCAACTTTGCTTCTGTCACAATCATCCAGTCAACTGTGTGAAAACATGAAGTTCAGGCTCTATGCCAATATCCCAGGCCTTTAAGTGCCCTGTTAGTTCCTCAGGTTGTTCTAATACCCACTGAAGTGAGAGAATCCTTGACACAGTACCTTATATAAACTAAAACATGAGAGAGCCAGAAATCAAACAAGCAATTCAACATTGCCAGGAGGCTCAGGTGTAGGGGAAGCAGAGCATGGCTGAAGATGCAGGGCAAAAGAAGGGAAAATCTTGTATGGCTCCCTCCCATCCCCACACTCTGCAGGTGCTGCCCCTAGACCTGGGAGAGCCAGGCATCAGGAGCAAGTATTAGTAATGACCATGGCCATGTGTGGGAGCTGTCAAAGCTTGGGCATCTGAAGACTCCTGGAGGACATGACCGTGTTGTTAGCCCAGGTGCGTAATGGGCCTCCTTATAAATCAACCATGCATGTGCAGTATGGTCACGCAAAGACTCACAGCTGGTGTTTTCAGTATGCTTCAGTAGGTGATAACAGCTACTATAAGTGCCATGCAATAAAGAGCTTATTTATGTCTGGCCCATGTGCCTTCTTTTCTTTGGGGATCTCACCTGAAAAAGTACCTCTCCAGCCCACCAATCTAGACACCATGGCTACCCTAATGCATTGCAGGCTTGGGGAAGCTACTGGAAAGCATGTCCCTCTGGTTGGGCCAATAGCAGTCTGCTGGTGAGTCTGTCTGTGCTACTGTGGGCATCCATTTCTTAATCTGACACCCTAATGAGGTAGTCGGAGCCAGGGAAGTCAGTCCTCCTTGTAGTCAGAGGTGGGATACCAGACACAGAACTGAAGATCCCTGAGTATATTTAATGCTCAAGGCTAGGAACGAGTAATCAGATTTGCCCTTACCTAGAGGCCCAAAGGGGAAAGCCTGGGTGTTCCTTCAGGTCACATTCAGGTCACCAGACAGTGCTGGACTTTGTCTTGGTTTTCCATGTGCATTGTACCCCTTCTCTACTTTTGCTTCCCAAAGGCAGGGTAGGCCACAAACCATTACTTCCTGGCCAAAGAGTTACAGGAAGGGGCCCTTCACAATGCTCTGTCCTCCTGTTACCATATTCTGGTATTCTGTAGACTCTTCCCAGGTTCTTTGTGTTCTGAACAAAGAATTGGACAAGACCCACAAAAAAGATACTGAGATTTTGCATTTATTAAGGGTAGGAAAAGAAGTAAGCTCAGCAGAGTGAGAGGAGGCCACTGAGAGAGTTCACAGTGATCATAAGGTTAATAGCGGTGGTCTTTTTTATCCTTCATTCTTCTGGGTGACCTCATATCTAGGTTATCCTGTCAAAAACCTGCTTGGTTTCACAGCAGAAGAAATTAAGATAGCTCTTTCTGATTGGTCCCAGATGCACAGCTTGGGAACTGTGTTTTGCATGGGTCCTGGATTTTTGTGATTGACAGGTCACTATTTAGCTGGTTTGGCATGCCTTAGTCTCCTGCCTGATTCTCAGCCTCCCTCCGCCATCCGAACAATGCTTAGGAGGAGATAGTGAGGTGGCAGAGATCAAACCAAGACACCTCTTCCCAAGTGCTCTGTCCCTGCTTCTTCAAGGATCTCTGGAGTGACCTTGGTAATCTTACTCAATGAGAACTACTTTCTAATAACCTTTTCTTCCATGAGACTGAAGGAATATTTGACATTTTCACCTAGTGTGTCATGTAAATATTTCTAAGTCAGAACATATGAACTACTTTACTTTTATTTACTTATCTAGTCTTGTTTTATTGCACTAGTGTATTTGCATAGTTCAAAATTCAAGCAATATGCAAAGATATCCAATGAAAAGTTTGGTTCACCTATGTTTATTTCTCACTCCTGCTATTGCCAGACAGGAAAGTATATTAATTCTTGTGTATATTTCCAGAGTTATGTACATAAAATTAAATGTAAATATATATTTTACTTCTCGCCTTTTTATTTAAAAAATAAAATACAATCATCTTTGTTTTGTGCTGTTATAGCAGAATATTCAAGATTGGATAATCTATAAGAAATAGAAATTAGTCAGGGGCAGTAACGCACGCCTGTAATCTCAGCACTCTGGGAGGTTGAAGCAGGAGGATTAGCAAGTTGAGTCCAGTTTGTGCGATTTAGTGACTTAGTCAGAAAATTAATAAGTAAGTAAATGAATGAATGAATGAATGAATGAAGATGGAACGCAGCTCAGTCGTCCAAAATCAACATCTGGCAATCAAAGATGACGTTCTTGCTACATTCTCACATGGCAGAAAATGGAAGGGCAAGACAGTAGGAACCTACTCCTGAAAGCCCTTTCTAGGGCAATTAATCCATTTATATAAGGACAGAGCCCTCACAATCTAAACACTTATCAGAAGGCCCTAACTCTCAAAACTATTGCATTGAAGATTAGGCTCCAAATATGAATTTTGTGGAATGCTTTTTCAGACTATAGCAGAAGCAAACTTGAATCCACAGTTTTCTTTTTTTTTCTTTTTATTGAGTTTATTGGTACAATCTAGGTATACAATACAGTTACATTCATTATTGGGATCCTGTACCCTTACATGATAGGTCTTGATTCTCATTTATACCCCTTGTCCCTGCCCTCCCTTCATTCCCCACTCCCCTCCCCATTTACAAACACTTTATTTCCATTTTTTCATTTTCTCATAGTTTTTCCTCTCCTTTATTATCTTTCCCCCACCCTTCCCCCTTCCCCTACACCTTTAGCCCTTTACTTTCTATTTCACATTATTAATTTTCTCATTAGGATCTTATGTACTATTATAGTTTTTCACACCAGATGAACTATTCAGTATTTCAGTTAAAGAAATCTCTGTATGAACATTAAAAATAGGGAATCCTAAAATAAAACTAAAAAGGAAAGTAAAAGAGAAAAGGCAGTGATGTAAAATTAAAATAATCCTTAATTCTGAAGATGAAAATGGTCCCTGAACATATTTAAATTGCTTCTTGCTCTTGTAGTCTTATTTAATTGTTTTTTTCATTATTTAGAGAATACTTTATTAGCTTCTGTAATCAAAACCCATGTAGATATGACCTTACATATTTAATACAGTGTGTTACCCCTGTACAAATGAAAAAAAATTAATATTTCTAGACCAATATGGCTGTTAATTTCTGTACAATGCCAACTCAACACAGTAAATTGGGATAACTTTTTCCAAAGTTGACAGCACACTTAAAGTTTCCAAAAATTCAAATTATATATATGTATATATATATATTTATATAAAAAGACCAATAATAGCAGTATGTTATGCATCAATAGCAGCAACAGCTTTTCCAGGTTCTGCAGTCATCTGAACAAAATTATAGACATTCAGCACACTCCATAAAAAAAAAAAACAAAAAAAAATGAAGAAAAGAATAATACCCAGAAAATAGCAAAGTTCTGTTGCTGTTGTGGTACCTGGCACCATTTTTTTTTATTAACATCTTAATCATTGTCTGGGAAGAGAACATTCTAGAGTAACATCATTAAAAATAGCTCTGATAAAGCACGGATACTACTATGCATCATA